ATTACGCTTGAGTAAACTTCTTTGCTGAACACACGTGTCACGAGAGTTTCTCTGAGACGAATGGGGTAAACCTTACATCAACAGCCGGATGTTGCTCTGCCTGGCTTTCTGGAGGCTGCCGATCCCCGGGTTTTGGCATGGGATGGCAATGGGAGCAGGAGCAGGCAGGAGGCTTCTGAGTGAGATCCACCCGTGTCCTGCAGCTGCCCTTGGACTGGCCATATGGAGTAGTGGCCATCTTGTTAATTTCATCTTTCTTGTCAGTTTCATCCATCTTGGCAGACTGCCTCAATGATCCACTTACTAGACTCTTATTATAACCAACTGTTTGGTTGAAATAAGACTTTTCTTCCCTCACCATCTGGAGAATTTGCAACTATGGGATGTTGGACTTTTGGATTGAGTTTTTTTTGGTGAGGGTTGTTCCTTTGGGGTACCGTCACTGTTTTCAGCTGGGTGAGGGGGGTGGCAGGGATAGGGCCTGGGTTGCTCATGCCCTGTAGAGTTACCCCCCTGCTCCCAGGTGAAAGCAGGGTGGGTGAGGTTGGGTGGTTGATGGATGTGTTGTTGAGGAAAGGGAAGTGAGGTAGCTGGTGCCTAAGCTAAGGGATGCTGAAGGTAAGGCAAATGCCAGTCTCCCGATAGCATGGCTGGTAAGTTGGATGGTGTGTTGGGGCCCTCTGGGCTGGAGGTGGAGCTGCTTGGGTTGGCTGGGGAAAATGGGCAGGCGATGGGCAGAGGGAGATGTGGTAGGAGATGGGGGATGGGGAAGGCAGCCTCAATATTTAGTATCCATGTAGCCTTCCAGCCCCTTGTGCTCTGCCCCAAAACCTGGTAACCAGAGCTCTGGTCATCCTGGCTTCCAGCTGCTGCTGCTGAATGCAGGATCAGCCTGATCTAAAGCTTGCCTCATTCACAAATTGATGTGGAATTTGTGAATGAGAGGGTGTGTCATGGCCCAGGACTCAGGCTCTGAGTCTGAATAGGCTGCTCCAGCTGAACCAGTGAAACATCAGCCTCAGGAGACACCAGGCCAGGAGTCACCTGAGGCTGATCAAAGGCAGGCCCCATCAGAACAGTGGGAGCATTCAGATGATGAGATATGGCCTCCAAGCCCTTGGACAAGGCCAGCAGAGCGGAGAGCAAAGCAAAGAATCTCAATGAGGCTCCTTGAATAACTGTCTTAGAGGGAGCATGACACCCACCTTTAAGGCTTGCAGAACTATGCTGGAAAAGTACTGAGATTCTCCCTGATCCAACTGCTCATGTCCTGCCTGACAGCCCACAAGATCCAGGTTGGACATGGATCAAGCTTGCGGGTAATTGCATTCAAACTACAGAGGAAGATACCCACTTCCTCAGAACCAATCAGTCACTACCTTCTGCAAATATAGCTTTGGGTGAAGGAACCCATGTACTTTTCAAAACAAATATTCTCTCCCTCTACAACAAGACATTGCTAACCATTGATTTGTTAGAGCTCTGAGTTCTTGGGTCACCTTCTGACCTAAAAACACACTTATTCACAGAACAACAAAGTGCCTTCCTTTTTGTTCATCTGAAGCTGTAACCTTTTTTAAAACAAGACTGTAACTAGTCTTGGATCCTAAAGCAATTACTTGGTCCCAGCATCCTTTCCAATTTGCGATTCCTGGTGTGTAGTTACCATGGTGGAGAGCATTCTTCCTCATCTCTGCCTTGTCTGCTTTCCTCTTCTTTCTTCCCAAAGATCCAGTTGGGCATTTTCCTGGCAAGTTGCTGTATCTGCTTGTGTCTTCCTTCAATCTTCATTTTGACAGTTTAGCTTGGTTTTTATTTCCACTTTTTATTTCACTCTAAAGATGCAAACTGTGTTACATTGTCAAACATACTTCTGGACAGATATTAGCAAAAAATACTCCTTTCACACACTTGTCCCCTACTCCATCATCCCTCTTGCTTTCTCACTCTCCTTTGTCAGCTTTTCAACTTCCAGCCACCATCCCTGCTTTTCTTTCCTTCGTACTGAAGCAACACAATCCATTTGCTTATTCATCTGTCTCTTCTTGCCCCCCTCCCCATGGTGTCCATTAATTTGCTAAGGATTTTTCCTTTGATTTTCTTCTTAACATTTCATTTTCGTGGAAGGATGCGAGTACACTCTCCACACACTTACAAGGGCATGCCACTATTTGGACTTCAGGTTCTGATATCTGCATGTCGGAAGAAAGATCTGACTAATTCCCTGAAGAGGAAGAAACAGCTCCTGTATCAGAGTTTTCCACACTCATGTCCTGGATCTCATGATCTAGAAAGACCCAACTGTTGTACCTGAGGTCCTGGAACATTTTCCTCAGAGGGGAGTTGCTGCAACTCCCTAATCATATTGGTTCCTCTTGGGAGTTGCACACATTTTCCAATTCCAATTCCAATTCCAATTCCAATTCCAATTCCAATTCCAATTCCAATTCCAATTCCAATTCCAATTCCAATTCCAATTCCAATTCCAATTCCAATTCCAATTCC